ACTCCGGGAGATTTGGGCTACAAGGAGAAGATGGGGAGGTTAATGGTAAGAGGTAATCTGCTGCTGATGATATTCCTTGGGTTGTTGATGGCTAAGGAAGAGAGAGAGAGTGCTTAGCACCATGGAAAACCTTGATGTTTGTACACGGAACTCATCCTTGAGGAAAGAGTGGGCCACCCATCAAGACTTAAGGAGCTGCCTTTCTCTCATCTTTCCCATCTTTTTACAAGGCATAAAGTGGGAACCTCTTGAATTAGTTGGCAACTGGGTCAAACGGATCCCTGCTCCCATAGGAGCTACTGGCTTACTTTTCCCACTCTTATTTGAAGAAGCCATCATCATTCATTCATGTGACTAGATTTTTCCTGAAAATAAATAGTGACATACCCTCATGGGACAAGAGAGAATGAACCTCAGGTGTTGAACCATGCCTCATTAAATTGCTATTTCTAAATCAGAATTCCTTGTGGATCCCGCTTAATGGAAAACCACAGCAGCTTTCCTCTTGGCACCCAACATCACAAAATGATCAGCCACTTGGAGGCAGCCACAGTAAATTCCATGCGACCTGGACAGGTCATGGGTAGGCCAATGGGGTCCCTGGGAATTCAAGTCAGGGGTTGAATACTTCAGGGGTTTCCTTCTTGCTCCTTAAATGACCCCCAAAGGGTCTCACAGACAGGACAGACTTTGCTGAACATTCCCACAGCCGTGAAGTGGATGGAGGGCAGGGCTTATCACTAGAACAGGATTTTAATTTCATTTTGGATGGAGGAACATTTCTTCTTTATCTCTGGAGATATATGTAAAACCATTTTTTTCCCACAGTCCCTTTCCTGACTCTAACCCCAAATCGAGGACAAAAAGGAGACTGAGCTGCCTTAAAAAACCTTTCCCTTTCTAGAGCAAAGTGGGTTGGAGGAGATGGGGGAGGAGCGGGCTCAGCGAAAGCAAAGAACTGTGACTTTGAATCAATTCACAGATGACTCAGAAACTGAGGAGGCCTTCCCATGTCTTCACATGACACCCTGCAAAGCTGTATTTTGTTCAGTGCTGTTGTCCCTGTTTTTCTCATCATATATGGTCAGTAAATGACAAAATCCTTCTTTCCCAAGGATGCTCTCTTAACCCAAGCTCTTCTAGTTAACCATTTATTAGTGGTTATTACATGTCAGGACTTCCCATGTATTATCGAATTCTCCCAAGGGCTCTATGAAGAAGCCACAATGATTATTCCTATTTTCACAGATAAGGAAAGGCACAGGGAGGTTGAGTAACTTCCTAAGATCACCCAGCAAGGAGGCGGCAGAACTGAATCAAACCCAAGACTTGCTGATCTCAAGCCTGTGCACTGGAACGCCTCCCACACCCTTTCCTCACACTGATATGAAGTCAGGCTGAAGATTCTGAAAGGAGGAAGCGACTGATAATTCTGGAATATCAAATGGATACCAGCCACTGAGCCTGGGGCTTTACAGAACTTTCTCCTCACACCTTCTCTACAGCCTATATGATAATTATTACCAACAGGCGATCTGCCTACCCCAACAAGTTGAGAAAAGAAAGAATTAAATAATGTACCCAAAGTCACAAATTGAGGCAGGGACAAAGCCTTCAAACCTATGTCTGCTTGACTCCAACAAAATACAACCCTGGAGAGGCCATAGCAGAGATGTTGCATTATTATGTTTCCTTTGGGTTTTACTAGGCAAGGCCTACTGTGTTTGTCCTTATAGATCAAGTCTCTTCCAACTTCATTGTAAAACAATATATAATTTAGTAGATTATTTTAAATTACAGTATTCTCTCACCAAAAAGACAGATAATAACAAAGGTTGGCAAAAGCATGCAGAAATTGGAAGCCTCATATACTGCTGGGGAGAATGGAAAGCAGAGAAATCGCTCTTGAAGACCATATGGCTGTTGCTTTAAAGACTAGACCTAGAGTTACCATTAACCTAGCAATTCCACACCTAGTGACATACATACAATAATTGAAAATCGATGTTTGCTCAGAAACTTTACGTGAATATTCACAGCAGCACTCTTCATAATAGTCAAAGAGTGGAAACAGCCCAGGGTGCCTGGGTGGCTCAGTCAGTTAAGTGGCTGACTTGGTTTCGGCTCAGGTCATGATCTCAGGGTCCTGGGATCGAGCCCTGCATCGGCCTTTCTGCTCAGCAGGGAGCCTGCTTCCTCCTCTCTCTCTGCCTGCCTCTCTGCCTACTTGTGATCTCTGTCTGTCAAATAAATAAATAAAATCTTCAAAAAAAAAAAGGATTTTCCCTTCCCTCTGCCCCTCGACCCCCCCACTTCTTCCTCTCTAAAAAATAAAAATGCCTCCCATGACAAAAGCCAGTTATTGTGCATTTGGCAGGCTCTCCAGAAATATCTCTTGAATGAAGGCACCAAAGTGCTTTATGGGTATTTAAAAATAATACACGTTCATTAAATTCAAATATGCCTTTTAGGAGTAGAAAGATGGTGCTTGCTTTGCAACGATGTCACAGGAAGTACACCCAGACTCGACCATCCCTGGAACTGAGTGCTGATGACTCTGACTTCTCAGGAGCAGAGATGTCGCCTTGATGAAGGAAGTTTACCAACACACCGCCATTGCTGGAACTCCCCATCGGCGCCAACAGGACCAAAAGCAAGAACCATGTGTAACTTGCTGACGATGAGGATGGCACTGAGGGTTAACTGTCCCCCCAAACCCTCAGTGAGCCAAGCCCAGAGCAGCGGAGAAGCTCCAGGGTGACTGAGGACCGCAAGCTGGTAAACCGTCACTTGGGTCCCAGAATCTGAGAAGGTGAACAACAACCTTCCTTTGTTGCTAGAGGAACTCCCCAGAGCAGCTCCTGGTAGCATTTACTATTTATGGCCACATTTGAGCTAATATGAAAGAGTATGGAAAGAAAAAAAAAATAAATAGAAGTTCCAGAGTAAAAATGGAGACCAATATTCAGGGTTGCAGGGGAGAGGATGTGGAATAATAGAGTCTGAACTTGAGATCTAGCTGCAGAATTAGCCTGATGTGAACTGTTCAAAGAGCCAAGAAGAGAGGATACGGATGGTGAGTGCACTGGGGAAGAAACAAGGCAGAGCATTCGTGGATTTAACAGCAAAACAAATTAGCTTCACAGACAAGCTTCTCAGGAGCAGACAGAGTCCAGAACCTAGCGCTGACTAGATAATCTTTTCAGGGAATGGATTTCAAGCCTTCCTCACCAGGGAACAAAAACCTCCCAAGAATAATTTAGAAAGCACGTATTTTAGGAGCCCTGGATTTGCGAAATGTTTGGTCTGAGGCTCCTTTGCAAAATGGAAGTAGGGGTATGGCACAGAATTGGAAAAGATTCATCTGAAGCGACACGGCTCTGAGAACGTGATGTGGGGAGCTCCCGACTTCACATGTCTGAAGATTCACTAGCATTATTTTGGAAGGAGTCGGTCTCATCTACGAAGACGCATCCTCGTGGGAAACAAAACACAACTACAAAAAATGGAGGACGGACTCCCTGTGCGAAGGATAGCTGGGAGCTTTCCTGCCTTATTCATTGGCTTTCTAAAACAGCTCTGTGAGGTAGATGTGTTACCAATGAGGAAGGAAGTGTGGCTCAAAGAAATCGGGCCTCTTTCCTGAAGTCATACAACTAGTAAATGGGGTAGGGAGAGGATGTGCTTCTGAGTCTTCAAACTTCTTCTTCTTTAACTTTTTAAAAAGATTATTTATTTATTATTTGAGAGAAAGAGAGGGACACAGAGAGAGAGAGACACAGAGAGAGAGAGAGAGAGAGCAAGCAGGGGGAGGGGCAGAGGGAGAAGCAGGGAGAAGGACGCGGGACTCGATCCCAGGACCTTGAGAGCATGGCCTGAGCTGAAGGCAAGCACTGAACTGACTGAGTCACCCAGAAGACCCCTGGGTCTTCAAACTTCTCAACCACTCTTATCTCCACTACCCTACAGCTTCCCCAAGTAAAGCGGTCATCAATCTCCCCAGCCACGGAAGGCCTTCTAGAATGAAAGACTAATGACTTTCCGACAGAGATGGAAGACCACCAGGAAACACCACAGACCAGAGGAGGATACCAACCAAATAACAGGAGGGCCTCAGGCTTTGGGACATCTGCAAGTCTGGGACCCTAAGAGAAGGACTATGTGTGAAATATTAGTCGAAATAGAAAGATCAGTAACTTCCATTACATCCAGTCCCCCCCATCTGACAGCTTCCGATTTATTTTGTTGTCTGTTCTTGGTGAAGAGTGTACCAGAAGATGAGAATTTGGAGATTTTAGAATGGAACTTTTCTTAACATTACTCGGTGTCTTATTTGAACTGTAAATATTGAAATGTGCTCCTAGACTGGTCAGTTCTTGCCATAGCCAATAAATATACAAAATCAAGAAGAAACACACTTTGTAAGAGCTTTCAACTTCCCTTACACAATTCACAAAGATGAGACCATGGCAGAAGTTGTTGATTTTGTCACTGACCTTTTGTAATCATTCTCCACCATAGATCTTCCTTTTGGGTTTTGTGGGACAAATTTTCCCACTGTTTCTTCCCTTATAAACCCATCTGGCTAAGGTCCTAGCATTCTCAATGACATAAGGTCATAAAAGGGGAAACTGCACTTGACAGGGATGCCAAGGAAAAAGAATATTTTGTCCTGGGAACCTTTTTCTGAATCTGTGATGAGCCCACAGGCTGTAAACATTTCAGAAGGAAATATTGGGTTTCTATCCATGTATAGTATTGGCCTGTCAGTTACAAGCAGAAAGAATACTGGACAGACAGTCAGGGCTCTGTGTTCAAATGTGTCCTCTGCCAGGAATTAACCAGGTAGGTAAACTTCACCAAGGGCTTTCTTCTCTCCTGGCTGCAGGCTCTCATCTGACTCATGAAGCGCTCACAGTAGATCAGCCCTACAGACTATTCCAGCTGTTAGACACTCTGGCCCCTGGCTTTGCCCTTTCTGGTGATTTCCTAGCAAGTACCTGTTTCTTGGTCACCGTGCCATCCACAGGGTCCACATATTCAAAGCAGTCTGTCTTTGCCACACTGTAGACGTGGTTGCCCACAGCAAACTGCTGGCCGACGAAGGACTTGTCCGTGACCAGGGCCTCCAGGTCCCTCATGATGTAATACGTCGTCTTGGGCTCTAGCCCCTCATAGTCAAACCTGGAGAGGGAAGGCAGGATACAGGGTGAAGACAAACCTAGCTAGAGAGCCAGCAACAGGGCAGACCACTCAAGGTCATCTGATCCTTGGTTTTGTTTTCCTGGAAGAAGAGCACAGAGAAGCATCCCAGTAGGTCCCCATGGTCTCTTACCTGACCCACAGAACCCTGGCGCCATAGAGGAGCCCAAATGATCTTGTAAAAAGCACATGGAGTCATGTCCTTTATTTTAAATCCTTCCCCAAGTGCCCATCAGTTGAGAACAAGACTCTAGCCACAGACCATAACCCGCTGTGAGATCGGACCCCACCTACCCCTTGACTTTGTCCCACTCTCACCCTTATTCCCTATGCTCCAGCTACACGGGCTTCCTCTCCAGTCCTCAGAGACACTTTGCTCTGCCCTGCCTTTGGGACTTTGCCATTGCTGTCTGCTCCCTCAACCTGGTATATTCTCTTTTTTTTTTTAAGTTTTTATTTATTTATTTGAGAAAGAGAGAGCATTGTGAGGTGAGTGGCAGATTGCAGGGGAGAAGCAGGCTTCCCACTGAGCAGGGAGCCCGGCATGGGGATCCATCCCAGGACTCAATCTGGTATATTCTTCCCCATGACCACTCACGTACCTGGCACATTCTCTTCTGTCACTTTTCCAGCTTAGTGTCACCTCCAGAAAGTGACCTTCTCCGACCATCTATTCAAGATTTTTCCCTCATCTCTCCCTCTCTCACATCACTCTTGATATTTTCTTGTGGTACTTATCCCAATCTGTATTTACTTTGTTTGTGTATTTGTTTATTTATTTCTTATCTGCCTTTGCCGCCATGAACCACAAGCTCCGGGAGGCCAGAGACCTTCTCTGTTTTGTTCTCTGCTGCTTCTAGTAAGTGTTTACTAAGCAGTGGGATGAAAGATGGGAGAAAGGGAAGGGAGGGAGGAAGGAAGGAGAGAGAGGAATCAAGGGAGGTGAAGAGAGAAGGAGGAAGGGACCTCAACATACCATAAAACTCTCTTGGAAACTTGGAAGAAATACCCCAATTGTTCCATTAAAAAAAAAGTCCTTCTAGCCAAGAACATCAAATGTAACAATGGGGCTGGGAGGTGATTAGAAAAAAAAAAATGACTAAAAATAACACATATCTCATTTGTTCTTGTCGGGCTTAAATACCATAATGCATATCAAGTGATGCCAGATACCACTGCTTAAAATTATTAGTGGATTTTATTCTTGGTCACTATCACAAAGAAACTGGAGTCTTCCCCTGTGTCAGATAGTATTGACCAAGACCAAATGGCAAGCCCAGGAGGCGCTGTTAAAGAAGGAAGCCCTTGAGGGGCAGCTGGGCCCACATGGCTGTGGTGAGATCTCACACTGGGCTCTGTGTGACACAGGGACAAGATGTGGGCTCCCAGCCCGCTGAAAGAAGGAAGACTTGAATCAATGATACTTCTTCTTCACCCAAGATCTTTTAAGACTTTGAGTAAACATCAGGGTATTAGCCAAAATGGAAAACATGGAATGATGCCATTTCTAGTAGTGGGTCCCCTGTCCCTGTATCTCTGTCTTGTAAACTCTCCCTCCAACAGAGATGTGCCCTCCCCAGCCTCAGAAACAAAACAACTGGGAACTCTTTCAGAATACTGGAGGCAGTGGATGAGTTCTGAGCCTAGAATCTCTTTAAAGATAGTCTTTTGGGGGAAGATCGAGACCCAACCAAGCAGAGAGGGGTAGGAGGATGGGATAAGAGGGTTTATTAGGATACGGAGGGAGCAGTGAAAGAGATGCAGAAGTTGGGGAAATCCACTGACAGGACATATCACATTTGGTCTATGGTCGAGCCTGCCCAAATGCTTATCTTCATACCCAAGCAGACTCTGGCACAGCCCCCGCTTTGCTACCGCAAATAACCCCCTCTGACCACCACAACCCACACTTTCAAGGGAGGAAATCTTTCTCTTTTTAAAAAATTAATTACTTTTATTAACATATAATGTATTATTTGCCCCAGGAGTACAGGTCTGTGAATCCTCAGGCTTACACATTTCACAGCACTCACCATAGCACATACAAGGGAGGAAATTTTTCAATGGGGAGTTCCTTCTGGGGTCCATTCACACAAGGAAAATCATCTGGGTTCCCAGATACAACTTCAGGTTCAGAAACAGTTAAACCAAAACTGTTGGATTATCTCCTCCCCACCACAAAGAACGGGCTAGAAGTCTTTTTATTTCACAAGGATCTCTCAACCTGTGTCTGCTGGAGGCTGAAAAAAGTGTTAACCTTTCATTCTACCCACTCCCTCTTCCTTTTTTCTTTATCTCTGTGATCTTTTTGGACAGAAATCTGAGACGTAAGTCAATGTTCTACAAGAATTTAAATCGCCATTGCATTATATTCTCTAATACCGTATTTGCTATGAAAAAAGTAATTATCCTCTAGGCCACAGAAAAAATGAACTATATTCTAAATACAGTCATCATAACACCATGTCCTCAAAACACTGGCAGAAAGTTAGATAATCGTTGCACAAATTATGAGGAACACATCCTTAACTCAAAGGGATCTCACTAAGCCAGAGGCTGGCAATCATAACATATTTTTATCAGGCTGGATGACTTTTTTTTGGAACGGCTTCGTGCAATGGAATTACTTCCCAGGTACGCCAGAAAGGCCCACGAGAATCGGGATTTTTGGGGCACTTGTGAGAAATACTAGGAAGTATAACAAATGCCCAACCTGCCTTGAGAGTAAGGCACGTTGGGCATTTGTTTATGAAACAAGGTACCATTTGACGTGGTTTTCAGGGAACTGCAACCTCTGTCTTCTTGACTAAACAGGAAAAAAAGACTATTATGGCCGTGTCAACACTTCCCAGAGCCCTGTAATCTTTTTGATGATAATGAGGCCTCTCGCAGGCTTTCTTATTCTCTGATATTTATCTAAGTAAATGACTTCTTAAGAGAAGAAACAATCACCTTATAAGGGAAGTCTAAAGCTTTCTTTCTGTTGCTTAAGCTCTTGAAACATAACCAAACATCCAAAGTAGTCAACTGTTCAGAAACAAAGCAAAGAAGCCACCCTATCTGTTTTCCTTACATAGAGAGTCTCTGAGGCTACCCAAAGATTCCCTTGCCCCACCCCCGGGTTCTCCACAGTTAACATCCTTGCCCATCACTTCTCCCCCAAATCGGTGGCTTGGTACTTGGAACACAAACTTAGCATACCTAGGTACACATCCAGCGGGCAACCAGGCAGCCAGAAGACTCTGTCCCCTCACTTACTTCACAACCAAGAAAGTGACATACATAGACCCCCCAATCCTGAGCTCTGAGCCACTGACCTTTGCCCCTGCTCCCTCCCAGGGTAACAGTTCCCTCTTCTGTATCTCCTTTCACAGGGACAAAACTTTAGCCAAATCTGGGGCTCCTGAACCATGTGGCCCCTTCAGAGGGCACCTTAGACATTGTTCGACCCTTAGCGAGCAAGTAAGACGGAGGGAAGAGAGGATTACAAAAGCAATCCGACCTATCAGTTTTGTCTCTTCTTCCATTTCTTGATAATTATGGATAGAGGACTAACAAGGAGAGCCCCTGATTAGACGACCCAACTCTCCTGGACAACAAAGGACTTTTAAGGTTCTTGCAGTTCAGAGTCCCTCTTGGAATGGATGTCCATCGTACAGGCACAGGTGAAAAGATTACAGATGAAAGTCTCTAGGGGAGGGGAAATTTCTGCCTTCCGGTTCGGATGCCCTTGACAGGTCGCCCAAATGCCGATCAGGAGCTCCAGCTCCTGGGTTCCTCAGATCATCCTGAAAGCTGCCTCCTCCTTAAGGTTCTAGCCCACCACTTTTCTCTAAGAGCAGTTCCCCAGGGACCCCGCACTCCTCACCTGCAATAGTAGTGGCGACCAAATTTGGCCCAGTGATCTCGGACGATTTCCTCCACACTCTGCTTTCGGGAAGCCAGAATGGAAAGCCAGACCAAGACAGCCCAGAGGCCATCCTTTTCCCGGAGGTGATCAGAGCCTAAAGAAGAAAGAAGAATTCTGCTGAGGAATTGTTCCGGGGCGGGGGGGGTGGGAGTAAAAGCCAAATGAACCATGAAGACCAGTTAGCAACTGAGTGTTGAAATGGTTGCCTATATTTACCTATTGTGATAAATACATGTCATACTATACTTGCATTTTTGAAAAAAATCCAACTGAATTTCAAGTAACATAAAATAACATCAAAAAATAAAATACAATCCTGCAATTTGTTGAAAGTACCAAAGAGCTAAGCTGACATCACATTTGCCCAATGTTATCATTCATTCAGTCAATAATTTTTTATCCTTACAACATACCAAGCACTGGTCAAGGTGCTAGGGATAGAGCACTGAATAAGACAACTCTTTATTCATAAAGCTTGAACTCAAGGAGGTAGAGACAGGCAACAGAAAAGTAGATGAGAGAACAAGATGCATTAAATAAGGACAAGGGCTAGGAAGAAAGTCACAGAGTATGACAGCAGCGAAAACGATATTACCTAGAGTAGTATAGTTTGTCTACAGAAGGGGTAGTGGTGGCTTTCCCAAAAGACATGTTCACCCAGCACCTGTGACCGTGACCTTAGCTGGGGAAACAGTCTTGCAGATACAATTAAGGATCTTGAGATGAGAGCATCCTGGGTTACTCAGGCAGACCTTAAATCCAATGACAAGTGTTCCTCAAAGGAGAGGAGAAGATACAGAGAGGAGAAATATAGAGGAACAGGTCACATAAAGACAGAGACAGAGACTGAGACTGGCATTGCTGTCACCAGTGAGGGAACACAGGGAGCCACCCAAATTGGAAAGAGGCAAGGAAGGGCTCTCCCCTAGAGCCTTCAGAGGAAGGATGACACTGCCAACACCTTGATTTTGGATTTGTGGAACAAATTCCTGTTGTTTTAAGCGCCCCCCCGCCCCGATTTACAGTGATTTGTTGTGGCAGCCTTAGGAAATGAGTACAGGTTGTGATGGTCAGCTCCACTGAGATGATGACATCTGAGCTGCCATGTGGGAAGGAGTTGGCCACGCTGAGATGTGGGCACAAAGCATTCCAAACCAAGGGACAGCAACCACAAAGTCCCCCATGCAGGAGTGAACCGGGTAACTCAACCCTACAGCAGCTCTGCAGAAAGACAGGCAGTTCATATCGTGGCATTCACAGGAACGCCAAAAGCCCGCTGAACAGGTAGGTTTCTTTGCAAAAAAGAACCAGAAGGAAATGCGAGAGACCCACTTAAGCACCTGTCTCCTGGCCGGCTCTAAGCTCTTTCTGAAGTGAAGAGAGCCCAGAATCCAAGGCACTTGTAACAGAGTAAGGAGCACAGTGACAGGAAAAGCATGGGAGGGCTTTGGAATGAGGGTTTGAAACCAAACTCCTGCTACCTCTTGCATGTGTGACAAGTTGCTGCACAGTTATTAAGCTTTCTGAGCCTCAACTTCTCATCTGTACAATGAGGACACCAACACCAATCTCGTGGGGTTGTCCTATCAATTTAATCAAGTCCAGAGGACAGGCTCTTGGGTCAGGTTGCTCACATTCAAGTGCTGGTTCAACACTTCTCTTTGTGGGACTGGCTGTTCTCGTCCACAACATAGGGACCAGGATGGTTCCCACCCCACGGAATCACTGTCAGGATGTATTGGTAATTCACACAATGCAGCAACATGGTGCTGATTCCTTAGGACACCCTTTAAGGCAGATCGTTCTCAGTTATTCCTATACTGTAATCCTCTGACACTAGCAATAACCATATTGTAAGAATGGCGACAGGGACCAGGGGCTGGACCATCGCTTCTTGCAATAGAGCAGTGAGAATGGACAGAGGACTCTGGTTTCAGGGCTATGAAACATAACAGAAAATCAAAAAGAGAGACCCAATGTCTCAAAACTATTGAAACCTTGAAAATGGGATGAAATAATACTTTAGTTAAGTTAAATTTTTTTGACAACTTCTCAATGAAGCTATGAGCCATTTACTATTACGTTTATGGTGTTAAATGTTAAATGCTTTTCCTTGAAAAGGAAAACATACAACCTTGAGAGGGCAGTGAAGATATTTAAAAGGAAAAACAATCAGTGTTTGGTTCTCCTTCTGCACTGATCAATGATGTGCTGATGACACTTTCAGATGTCTGGTTGCTGCTGCCTCCAGGTTGAGAGGACCCCAGACGTTAATCATCACACCATGGGGTGACTCTTGTCTTATCCAGTGAACTCTTCACACGGCTACAAAAATGGAAGTTTGGAAGATGCTGGGCTGGCTCCATGGCTGAGTGCCAAAATAACAAGTCTAGGAAACCCTGCCCAGTGGGATAATTTCAAAACCTTTAGTCCTTTTATAGCTGAAAAATCACTTTTATTTACTGGCTAGAGAAAAATACTCTTTTGTTTTAAAACATGGGCTTTGCATACCTTGCATTTCCAGCTGGATTACATTACCTGGAGATAGAACCATTAGAGGTTATTAACTCTGTGAAAGAAGATGGCATAATTTAGTGGGAGAAGAGACATGAAGTTCTTTTAGCAAGATTAAAAAAAAAACAAAAAACACCTCGCCCATTTGTCACCAACTTGACAGTAGATTGTGACGTTGGTTTGGATATACTTGCCTACAAATTATACATCTGCAAAAATTCCTAAGGGGAAATGATCTAGTAAAATGAATTGTGCTCTTTACAGCTTTCTGAGGTGGGGATGGAGACACTGATGGATGTTGCATTTACACACACATTTCCCCTGGATGCTCATGGAATGCTTTAGAGAGGGTTTTGGGGATACAACCCTCCTTTTAATAATTCTCTAAAGCAAATGAACTATCATGCCATATCAGTGACAGGTACATTAAATAAGAAATGCAGAAAATACAAAGGTATTAAATGGTTTTCTGAAACCCCACCATAAACAGAGTAAAAACAGAGGGAAGAGATATTCACATTATAGATTATAAGGCTTAACACACTACATATTTATAAATATTTTATGAGTCAATGAGAAAAAGAGATACCCCGATAGAGAACTGTGGAAGGGCAGAAATGAGCAATTTCACAAGAGAAAAATATTAATAGTTCAAAACATTTGGACAAATGTTCGGTCTCATTGTGGTCAAGTCCATTAAATGGGATGATATTTGGAAACTTCCAATTAGCAGAGGTCAGGGGAAGGGGAATACTGAGTACCAGTGTTAGTATAAATGTGTAGTTTGATACCATAACTTGGCAAAAATAATCAATAGTCTTAAAGTATCACCCAGGTTTGGACCCAGCTACCCTACTTTTTAACCTTTAGCCTAAGGACATTTTACTAAAGTAGCTAAGAGAAGAGAGGAAAATTGGACAAATACATGTTAATCATTACACATCAGGATAATGGTGGAAAATCCATCCAAAAGCTTGTTTAGATGTTTTCATAAATGGAACAATTCAGCTTACCAAGGAAGTATATTCAGTATATTTTTGGAGCAAAATATAGCTAGATATGTCTGTATGTATGTGCACAGATAAACAACAGGAGGACCACCCCACCCTTAACAATATCTTGGAAATGGTAGAATAGCAGGTGTTTTCTTCTTCTGCCCTATTTCCAGAAGAAAGATATATTTTTTTTTCATTATAAGACAAAAAGTCTTCAGTGGTGGGTAGAAAGTCATATCTGAGGACATTCAATTCCATTTACCAAAGAGCTGGTTGGGATAGTAAACAGATCGCTATCACTTATGAATAGGTGATGGACTTTGAACCTATCAATCATCCCATAGAGACTGAATATGACCCCCCTCCCTGTGGGTCTCACAGGTCTTGGGATTAGGATCAGGAATATCCTGGAAGGTTTTAGAGACTAACAGAAGTTGAGGATGGGGAAGAAGACATGCAACTGAGCTGTCAGCACTGGCCTTGGAGGAAGCTGGGGAAGCTTATTTTGTTGCCTACCTTTAGCTTCACAACAAAATGGATTAAAAAGTATGGGGAGTCCCCTCTACTCCTTATCCTCACACAAAGACAACTTCCCCCCACTATTAACAGTCCCCAGTGCAGGAGGACATTTATTATAGGTGTTGAACCTACACTGACACACGATTATCACCTGAAGTCCATAGTTTATCCTTGGGTTCCCTCTTGGTGTGCAGTCAAGGATTTGGACAAGCACGGCAAACTACTAATCTTTTTGCCATCTTCATAGTTATGCCTTATCCAGACTACTTACTCCAGTAAGAATATTGGCCTCATGGAAGATAAGGGGGAAATAAAGAGTATACTCAGTCTCAAACTGATTTTCTTCTCATGGAAATTCCAGCATGGGAAAATCAACTCAATAAAACATGAACGCAATCAAGTCATCTCAGCTGAGACTCAGATCAGGAACGTCTGAACTTGTCAATTAGGAAAACAGATATCACTTTGCACCTTTTGCAGGCCCCAAGCTGGAACAAGAATTATGATTCTCAATCCAGGCTGCATATCAGAGTCACCTAAAGAACTTATAAAAATTCCAAATATCAGTGCAAGGCCTCATTCCTGACCATTAAAACGAGAATTTTTGGCAACGGGATCCGGGCATTGGTATTTTTTTTTAAAGTTCCTCAAGTGATTCTCATGGGCCGCTGGGGTTGAGAGCCACTGCATTAGGAGAGGAAAATCAAAAGAAGTCCATGTTGGGGGCAGATGGCTTCTTTTTGTCCAAATTTGACCTCTTATTTTTGTCCAAATTTGGTGCTAAATGAAAGTGGCCACTAGTCTCCAGTTTGGTGGATGCCACAGCTCCTGCTTGTGTGGGTGGCTCCTGCTGGAGCCAGGGTCAGGATTATGCTCTCTCCTTGCCCTTTCTGTCTGGAAAACTTGGGAGGATTTTACCAACTCTGGGGTAACCAACTCGTCCCAGTTTAACCCAGGACCTTCCCAATTATAGCAGTAAATGTCCCCCCCCAACCAAGAAAACCTCTCAGTCCCCAGCACGCCAGGATGGGTGATCATCTAAAAAGAAGGGCCACTCCCTCGAATT